GACCCCTCCTTGGGTTTCCGAGGCGGTATCACTACGGAAGTAGGATTGCCCAACCTTCCTTCCGAGGAGTGGCTGGTGGGTTTGAACCGCCAGCCGTCTGGTAGACAGATAGTAGCAAGAAGAAAAACAGCAGGAAGAAAGCAGCAGCAGCAGAGAAAGAGGAGGCAAGGAACCTCCTAAAAGAGTTGTGTAACACTGTTCCAGGGCTATAATGCTAAAGACAGTGAGAAACCAAGAAGAGGCACAGCGGCAGAGCTGATGATAATAGGCCAGGAAGGGTCCCAGTGGCAAAGCAGTGGTGACAGACAGCAGGACTAAGCCTGTCCTCAAGGGGCTAAAAGGAGGATGTACTCAAGGGGCTGGTAGGAGACCTGCACAATCAAGAGAGGCTGAGAGAGCTGTCCTTTAATGAAATGAAGGGAGACTTTGCCTGTATGCTTCCAGATCCTGATCCTGAGTTGTAGCTTGTTGATCTTGATCACGGCTTATGCACCCTGTTCCTTAGTAAGCCACTTAACTGTAAGTATGGTCTGTAAATTCTGTGTGCCCATCGCAATGAGTTTGAACCCACCAGACACTCTGCAACAAACAGATGAGCCAGTAAGGATTTACAGCCTTGGAAACCCTATGGGGCAGTTTTACTCTGTCCTATAGGGAAACTATGAGTTGAAAAAGACTTCACGGCAGTGGGTTTTGTTGTGTTTGGTTTGGTTATTATATAAACACTGTTCCCTGACCCTTTTCCATATCAGTGCCAATCAGATAGGGTATAAGAGTCTATAGGGAATTTTTTATATTCAGAATATTTTTGACTTCCTAGTCAAAATGTTAGGAGCTCTGGCAGCATAGTGTCTAAGGTACTTGACTGCTAACCAAAACGCTAGCAGTTCAAACCCACCAGCCACTCCTTGGAAGGAACGTGGGCAATCTACTTCCGTAGTGATACTGCCTTGGAATACCAAGGAGGGGTCACTATGAGTCGGGTATGACTCAACGACACATAACAACAACAACAACAGTCAAAATGTTACCCTGATTTGCAAATCATATATTAAATAAATTTCAACCAGTTCTTAATTATTGGCTTAATATAGTTTTTATTTTAACAAAAGTATTCTCACTAAATCTTTCATGAAATGTGAAAAATAACTCCTCCTATCATTAGGAATCTGGTTTACAGTTATAATTGATACAGTTTGAAAACCAGTGATGTTATAAATACAAAATTGAATGAAAGTGCTGTTTAAAAAGAAAGAATTAAACCAATTGCTGTCAAGTCCACTCTGACTTGCGGCAAACTCATGTGTGAGAGTACAACAGTACTCCATGGGCTCTTCAATGGTTGATTTTTCAGTAGATTATCAGTACTTTTCTTCCAAGGTGCCTCTGCATGGACTTGAAACTCCACCCTTTTGGTTAGCAACAGAATACATAAATCATTTGCACCACTCAGGGACTCCAAATGAAAGGATACAATCCTTTCATAACCATCATGACAGGATGAAAAGTTCCACTAATTCACTCCCCACTGAAACTGCAAAAGTTATTTTAAAAAACAATTTAAAGCCTCTGGAAATGGTCCTAATGGTATATGGCAAAGGAATAAACACATATTCAAGAAAATCTATAGAAATTCAGTAAAAAGATGTGAGTCTGTTCTGTTTGAACAAGACCATTCTCTCTGCCCCCTCCACCAGCTGTTAAGGCAAAAACTCCACTCCCAATAGTTGTAGCCAAGAACACAAGGCTCCTTCTCCTGCCAGGTCCTGGTTGGAGAGCTTTCTTCACAGCAGGAAAGGACTTTGGTGTTTCTCATCCTGCCCTCGCTACCTGTTGCTGAGACTAATTCCAAGGCAAGTACAGCCATGAGGTGAAGGCTCTCTTCTTCTGTCTAGCCCCTGCTTACAGATCTGGGGCTCTCCCATATGTGCAGCACACTGAAA